GTTAACTACAACTCAGTGAGGTAAAATTCTCTGAGTGTTTAGATAGTTAACTTTAGTCTAAGTTCAAACGATTTGGTCACAATTTATGTAAACACATATTTCCAAGGCACTCCTTTATAATTATTGGGATAAACAGGTTTGAAATTATTCCAATGTATACTATAGGACAGTAACCAAAAAATATCCTTTAAAACTGGAGAGATAAAAAAATATATATTAAGGTAAAATAAGTGTGAACAACACAAATAAAATAAGTTACATTCATTTGTTATTGGCTATTGTAGGTTATTGGTTATGTTCACATACTTATTTGATTACATCCACTTGTCTAAGATGACAACAGAGACTTTCGACCCAAAACCAGCTGTTGACTTGTGGATGCAAGCAGCTAATCACAGACTCAACCAGAGAGAAAGTAGTAGGCCTACATCATCAGCTACCATGTCTGACAGAGAGGAAGACAGTGAGGAGAACAGTCAGGAGGGTAGTGATGACAGCTTGTAGGATTACTGGTCGTGCTAATGTTGTCTTGTGTTCACCTCTGCATGTGTGTTCTGTGTTCACCTCTGCATGTGTGTTCAGTGCCGTGTGTCTGGCAAATAAAGACCCCCTCAAAAGTTACGGTTTATTTCATTTTAAGGATGAGCACCAAGCAACATCTCCAGGTGCTCCTTTGAGAACCAGGGCAAAAAAGTGATGTGCACCCCTGGCCATAAGTGACTAGTTGGGGTGTGCTGCTATCACCCTGGAGTGAAATAAGTCTTTGATAATTGACAGTTTCTGTTTTATTCTTATCTAAAAACAGATGGACGATAGCCCATATGAGATTTCAAAAGTATTTTATTTTGAAACTCCTTAAGTTTGACATTCACTCAGTTATAATGTGGTAGTTATACGCAGTGGCGTTTTTATATGTACAAAAGTGGTGGGGCACAAAAAACTTAGATGTCTATAAGCTTCTGCAGTGAGGTTCATGGCTGGTGAGGCACTGGCACTGACTCTTCAGGTTTACAAATATTATATTTTGACCTAAATCAAAATATAATATTATTTTCAAAAGCTTTTTTTGTCTGATGCTTCAATTAATTTTAAACAGACAGTTCAACAGAAGGATACCCAAAAAATGTAATTTTATCATTTAAATATTGAATTGTTCTCTCTTAGTAAGATCCCATTTTCAATACAATTGCAGTCTTACCTTGACTTGAAGATTAAGCCCATTTGCCTATCCCTCTGGACAAAAATCTCTATTACTTTTTTGTAAAAGTCCTCCTTATGTTCTTGTAGTTTCAAAAGTCTATCATAAATCTAATCTAATCAATAGATTTATGATTCGAAAATTATAAAAGTAGGGTAGACATGTGGATATTATCCGGCTGAACAAAACGTGCATTTATCTAACAGGTTTGTTTCCCACAGATCTTATTTGGAGATATTTTTCTAAAATCCTATGGAGAAATCTCATTGCTTTTTTGTCGAGGGAAGCCATGCGCAGCTTACTTCCGGGTTTTAGGATGCGTCACTGCAGCTCTCTCGTCTCCTCTTCACACACCACACTTTTCGCGGCACACATACTTACAGCCAATCAGCTCTGAATTATGTGAGATGACGTATGGTGGGGATGGCAGCTCTATGCCCCTATGGTCATTATTTTTTTGCCACACACATTAAATAGGAAAATATTCTGAGCATGCGCAGTGTAGTTTTTACAGTCACCATTGACTTAGACAGTAAGAGGGAGGGGCAGGATCAGGTTTTGTCCCACATGGCTCTAAACAGCTCAATAGGCACACACTGTAGACACTAATTAGAAGAACACAGACTAAAACAGCAATGTACAGACAACTCAGATGATTAAACATGATCTTAAAATATATTTAATATATTTTTTAATTTATTTTTTGCATTTTTTTGTAATCATTATTTGTAATACTTTCTGCTGACACTAGGTGGGGCTGTGCCCCACCTGCCCCTAATGACCAGTCACCACTGATTATACGTAGTTTGTTTTAAATAATTATTGATCACATTATATAGTAGGCTACATATTTCTTAATTTAAAGTGGACCTATCATGCTATATTTGAAACATATATTGTAGGGCCATACCTATACAAAACATGTCTGTGAAGTTTTTTTTTCAAAATACCAAACAGTTCACCCATTGTAGCCTCTTACTTCTCATACCCCTCTTTTGCAGCCCTGTTAGAGAAACGCGGATTTTGGGTCCTTAGCTTGAAGAAAAGAAAGAAGAGGAGGCGGAGCTAATGCCTGATCAGAATTCTACCGGGGATAAAGTTAAATTCTGCTGTGATAAAACGCCATCCTGTTTAAACCACGTCAAGGATTAATTCTGAAATAGTATGGAGCTCAAATGCTTTTTCTCTTGCAGATTCATCACAAGGTGCATTCTTTTTTTATTTCCTGCTTTTTGTGCTCTACACAGTACAGGTGAGCTCTGAGTGTTAGCGAGGCTTGCTAATGTAAACAAAGACGAGATTACGTCCAAAACACGTCAGGCATTGTTTCTGATAGCAACTTTCTGTGGGTCCGCTGCCGATTTTGACGTCAGTTCGGATGGAATCTGTATCCACTCGAAGATTTGGGTACGAAGGAAAAGATAGAGGGTTTTATTTTCTGACGCTGCGTGAGTTCCCTGAGGCACCGGAGACACATATGTATTTATAAAAGACTCACAAAGTGCAATTTGCATGATAGGACCCCTTTAAGCTCCAGTATATGACTATATTTGGTATGTTTTGTAGGTATATTTGTTATTGACCAAGTAAGCGCTTTTATTTTGAAGGCAGTTTTTCCAGGCCTCTACCGTAATGCATAGGATATTCGTGCACCGCAATACAACGTGCTGCTCAGTGGCGGTTCTAGACCAATTTGACTGGGGGGGGGGCAGTTATTTTCTGAGGGGGGCACAATAAATGCAGGACGAAAAAGAGAACTAGACAGTATGAAGTAATTGCGCATAAGAAAACAATGCAATACAGTTATTGGTATTTGTTTCAGTACACTTATTTATTTCAGATAGATCTTATAGTTATTACTGTTAGCTTCAGCTTAAGTTATAGTGCAATGTTTGCACTAACACCATATTTATATAAAAATAAAGGCAATGAACAGTTACATCTCTACTTTACATAAGGGTGTCTACTGTCTGCACAATCTCACATTACAGCAACAAAATCCTGCCGAGTACCAGAAAATATACATTTAAAAAAAAACAAAAAACGTTTCATTGTTAGGGGGGCCACAGGGGGGTCAGAGGTCAGTGTTAGGGGGGCACTGCCCCCCCCCCCCTAGAACCGCCCTGCGGGCTGGCTAGACTGGGTATTCCGAAGTGGAGGCTGGTGGCTTGAATGCACTGATTTTGAGTGATTAGGTCACGGAAGTTATTGAAGAAATAAGCTAATTTTTCCATCAAAAATATTAATATAAAATATTTAAAGTATTGAAATGCAATACAAAGAGGTTGTGTCCTCTTGTAGTTATTTAATCCAGCACTGATTTTGAGTAATTAGGTCACATGTCCTAGCAGTTATTGAAGAAATATGCTATTTTTTCCATTAAAATATTAATAAAACGTATGTAAAGTATTAAAATTTTATAAAAAAGGAGATGTGTTCAATACATGTATGCTCTGTGGATTTGCTTCACATTCACACGATCGGGAAGCTGTCGATTTATTAAAAATAACATTGTTCTTGTATAATTGAAAAGTCATTTGTTGATGGTCCCTAAGTGAAAGCCTCGTTTCACGGAGAAGATCTGCCCGTCGTCATACAGCCAGCAGCAGGGGAAACTGACGCTGCTGGCAAGTCCGCGAATGTCTGTCGAATATCCAACCTAAAACTAACTTCACCGCGGTGTTGAACAAGGCTTTTTAAGCTGAACATCGCCACAATTGTTCTGTCACAGCCGAAGTAAAAACAATAAGTGTGGCTTGATATTGAGTAAGAAAAAGGTTTATAACGCTGTGAGAATGGGTCTGCGGAGAGCATTTCTCCGCGATCCCAACTTAGTAGCCCGAAAAACGTTTACCCATTTAAACAGTCCATTTAAACAGTCTGTTTTAAACATCATACATACAAACAACAATGAATACTTACAGGTTGTGTACCCGAATCTCCCGCCGGTCCAAACAAAGTAGGAACAGCATCGTTCTTCAGTGCCCTACGCTGTACATATCTGGCAGTTATCGCTGAAAGGTTTGTGAAGCTTTGTTTCGTGAAATGCTGGCAGAGGATGTGACCTCTGGGTATTCACACGTCACAGTACCCAGGAAGTAAACAATGGAACATTAGAAATCTCCAACGAGGTGTTTTGGGGCAGCATAGACTGTGTTTTACTCACTACAGGGTGTACTTTGAGGGTTTTTGACTCTGCAGACGGTTTACATGCATAAACCCTTCATAACACACAAGGGGACGGGTAATAACCGGAAAAGCATGACATGGGACCTTTAATTATTGAAAAAATATGAAAAACTCTAGTCTAAATTACTCTTTATGTACTTATTATACATATTTGTTCCATCTCTAATGTCTGTTCATATAATTAATTTCTCTGTTGTTGGATATGAATTGGAATTCAAATCTAATGTGAGTTTCCCATTTCACCTCAGTCCACTGACCTGTTGAGTTGAGCACATCAGAACGGTCTTTCCTGTGCACAGGGCCTCCTGTCACCACTAGGGGGCGCTGCTGTTCACTCTGCTCCACATAGGCTCTGACTTCCAGCAAATACAAATACCATCCTGTAATGCAATGTGACTGCAAATGTTGTCTATATCAGAATGTCACAGGGAAAATAGATCATACAATATCCCCAAAAATACATTTAAAGTGGTTATAAAAACGTAATTTACTAAATTGTAAAGTAATTATTTGACTTAGAAGAGATATTCCTTTGCTCTTAATCCTTTACGATGCCAAAGGTAAGATAAAACAGAACAAGTAAAAAATATATTGAATAAACTGGAAACCGGTATTGAATAGAAAACACATTTATTTAGTTTGTTAGGTTACAAAGTTAAGAAAATAATACATTTCCTGATTAACAAAGATTTTGTTTTACTTTGGTCACACAAACATAAAATATTAACTTACATTTTAAACTTGTACAACATGAACAGAATAAGTCTTTAATGCTAAGAATGTCATCATAATGTTTCAAAAGCATGGTGCTCAATCCAGAGTGGACCTACTGTAACAGTGACAGAAATGGCAGTAGCCTGATTTCTGGATACACAATTTGTGGAGAATGATTTTAAAATGTTGGCCCACTATACACTTTAAAGTGTTGTGTTACGTCAGGCAGATTTTATTTATTTTTAAATCTTTCTTCCCTATTCAAATGTGTGTTTATGCTAAAACACCGGTCATACCTATAACAGAGTTCCCAAAAAACACGATTTCTTAATATGTCAACATGTTTAAGTGCAATCAAATAAAATACATGCATAACTGTTTCTCAAACTACTGAATAATAGAATATGGACTGCTGATGAAGCTTACATTTGGCAGATTATTCCGACAAAAATAACAACTCTTTAAATGATAATAATGCGGACTTCATTACTTCATTCTGTAATGTCTGCTTTCTTTCAGAAGCCTCTGTTGTGATTAATAGCCTGGAGGAGCCTGGTGTGCATGGTCCTCTCGGCCGGGTACCTCTGGTAGACGGGCAGTAACAGCAGATGGTGGCAGGTGAGGGATTCTGGCTTATGGATCTCGGTGGAATCGGGCAACACTGCGACTTTCATCTGAACACTCTCCATACCCAGGAAGGGAACACGGTAGGAGCCGGTGACGAACACTGATAACAAATAAAGAATCTTAAATTAATGAAATACAACTTCATAGAACACCAAGGAAGCTAATACTGATAGGGACTCCACTTGAAACGGAATAAATGATGTCAATCATTTCAATACTTACGAAATAATTTTTTCTTCTCCTCCGCGGTCAGATTCTCAAACACCTCCCAGAAGGTCACGATGTTTGGATGCCTGTCATGGTAGTCTCCTTTATAAACTGTGTTCTGTTTGGAAATGACATGTGGAAAGTTACTTTACATCTCCCCTACAAGCACTTAAACACACAAAACTATATGAACAAGCAAAGTAACTGAGCATATCTTAAAGATCTCATGTTAAATACCTTTTTAGGAAAACATTTGGAGACTACTAGAATATGTTTAAATGCTGTAATGTTAAAAAAAACATTATTCTTCTCATACTGCCTGCCTGAAAAGAGCTGTATTCAGCCTCTCCCAAAAGCTCAGTCTATTCTCATTGGTCAGCGTTTCCCCACTAGCTGTCGATTGTCGAATGGTATCTCAAATCTGATTTGCTCTTTCTTAGACAGGATTTTAAATATGTGGATCAGCAGAACATTTGAATTCTTTATTGCTGAAACTTTCCGAGTATCTTTAGTATATATGTATATGTCTGTGTAAAAAGACTTGAAAAAGTGCATATTGCATAATATGTGACCTTAAACTGAAACAGTCTCTTACAATTTGAAAATGTATGTTAAACAACTACATAACAAACTGGTCATCTTGTTCTCCATATTTTTGTGATATATTCTTGTTTCAAATGAAATATCCTCAGACATAAGATAAAACATTATTCTGAATATCTGAACTTCAGCAGACCTTCTTGAACACCTCCCAGTCGTAGTTCTCCTGGCCCACCATCACTGCCTGCAGCTCCTCGGGCTGGAAGAACTCCACCACGTCGATATCACACACTTTGAAGAAGCCTTTCTTGAACGCTTCAAATGCTCCCTCCACTGATTTGTTGAAGGCATAGTTGACGTAGGCATCTACAAACTCTTTCCTATTAAAACATTTAATAAAATAATATACAAAAGATTAAACTGAGTGCTGACATTGTGCTAAAAATAAATCTTAAGAAATTCTAAATGTTGCTTCTACATTAACTATACACAGTAGAGCAACTCAACGCTACATCTTTAATGAAAGTAATGTATTTTTTGATGACAGGTTTAACTGTTTTAACTGCTAGATGGCAGCAAATATTTGCAGTCGACGTAAGAATGGATCATTGTCTGTTTGTTGACAGCATGTACTGCTGAATGGCAAGAAATCTGGGAGGTTGTCAAAGACACAGACTGACAGAAACTAAATACATGTTTAAAGCTTGTGAGGCAGACTAAAGCTGTGCAGATCAGATTGTTAAATACAACAGTTAACCGTACCTGTTGGACGCTGTCACAACTTTCCCAGTTTCTTTCGGGTCAAGTTCAGCTGTCTCTCCGCCCCAGGGCACCTGGTCAAACAAACGATTACAGCCAGAGTGGAATATGCAGAAACACATGTGGGCAACAGAGCAGAAGAATGCCTTTCGGACTGCGATTAAGTAAACTTACAGTGAAAGTAATGTCAATTGTTTTGACCTCATCAGGAGGACAGTCCAACAGGAACTGCCAAGACCTGCAAACAAGAATGTCAATAATACAAAAAGATCAATCTAAAACAACTATAACCTGCAAACTACAGAAATTGTGAAAATATAAATAAGAATATGTGAGTCTTACTCTCCCATGACAGGGTCGAACTCCTTCATGTCGTCCAGTGAGGGTTTGACCTTGAGCAGCTTCTTGAAGAGAACCAGTGGGAAGCGCAAGTGGACAAGGTTGTGGTGGTAGAGAGCCAGGCCGCACAGAACGCCAAACAGGAAGTAAGTCTTCTCCTCTACTTTTGGCTGTTTGATTTATAACAAAACACATTAAGATTTGGTAGGATTCAATAACGATGAACAGGTCAAAAGTACAGTACAGTATATCAGACATCAGAAAAATCAGAGTTATACATTCACGTCTTTGTTCATAAGACTTTTATAGTAATCAGATCACTCTGTTAAATTCATTCAAATGAGGAATTTGTTTAAAAAAAAAGAATTGCAAATGTATAGAGGACTGGGCAGTATATCGACAATTATACCAATATATTTTCTAATGTACCAAGCAGCCCCTCCAAGAATGAGCAGCGGGACCGCCCCATCCACACAGCTGTGGGATATGTTAAGCAAGAGAGGAAAACCAGAGGTCTTTCATTTTGCTCACAATCTCTTTCCTAAAAGTGTTCGGAAAAACATCTTACATGTGGCTAAGACTTGCAAATATACATTTAGCCCACTTAATAAAGAAATAGCGATATATATATATATATGATGTATTCAGTCTTAAAAAACATAGATATTAGTTTTGGTCCATTTAACCCAGCCCTAAGTAAATAAAATGATTTAATTCATGCATTTGTGTTTAAATATCGTGTCTTACCCTGACAGGGAACCAGGCCAGAGTGTTGCTCTCGTTGAACATGAACATTTCAGACTTGGGAGACATCAGCTCTTTAATCACTTGCAGGAAGAAATCTCTTTTGTAGACATCCATCACCTTCTTCCTGTCTTCATCAAATTGCACCTTCAAAGGATCAAATAATGTTTTCATTATTAACAGTCCTTAAACTAAATCAGTATCAGCTCTGGTAAATAAAACTTCCTGTCATCCATTGTGGGCTTAGAACTAATTGAAGGGATTTAATCAAGCAACACATTCAAAAATGCACAATTACTATACCAACAACTCCCCTTACACAATCCACCAAATGCTGCTATTGATGGGCAAGTTTTATCAATTTAACTGTACATTTATTTTATTCACATTTAAAAAATCAATTGGTACTGATGTTTGCAGGCCCTCTACACATTTGTTATGTTTAATTATCTCCAATTACTTCTTAAATATGTACTGTAATTGACATTTTGCTCAAAATGAAGTCAACTGATTTTACACATAAAGTAAAAAGTATTGAAGCAATGAAAAATATGCTTTTGTAGCATTGTGGGGACCGTAGGATACAGATGTTGATTTTTGACCCGTTACAGAGAGTAGATCTTCAGATATCTCAGCCTACATTGCTGTGATTTTGACAGTTTTTTATTTCTTGTGAATCCCACAACATATGGAAGTGCAACACTAAATGGCTTAAGTATCCATAAAATAACTCTGAAACTAAGTATAAAAAGACAAGGGCTATAAAATGTTGCCTCAGGCAACTAAACATGGCAACATTTTGTAGGTATGTTGTAGTATGTTTACCAAAAGCTCCCTCTTGAAGGCGCAGTGGTCGGCCGCCCCCAGCTGTCTGAAGGTGTCCTCCACCAGATGAGAGCGTCTCAGGGTGAGCTGGAAGACCGGCGCGGGGGCGGAGTCTGGGCCGTCCAACCAGAGCTCTTCAGGACACACCAAGGCCAGTCCATGAAGGAAACCCTGCACTTTCTGTAATTACTAAACCTTAATATATCTTTATCTGAATAAAAAAATCTACACTTTGACAGATTGGTTCAAATGAATGCTCAAAACAAGAAACAACCTCAGATGTATTATGAAAAATAACTAAATAGGAACTTAAGTAAATTGTTTAGAAATTATCTAATGTTTCGAATACTGTACCTTTGAGATAAATGCATAGTAGTTAAAGACTGCCACCTTTCGAACCAGAGTGAACAGGAATGGGTAGCGGCAGAAAATGACGGGTGTGTCGACATCATCCTTAAAGGAAATAAATTGATAATAATACATAAATAATTTCAGCAAGAAGCATTTCAACAGAAAATGCTCAGGATAAAATCACAAATAGTTAGGAATAAATGCAATATCTCGAAAATGGTAAGATATGTTTTTACCTCCTCTTTGGAAAATTGAAACCAAAGAGCAAAGTCCCGATCTAGCAGCACACTGTCACTGATCTCCTCTACGTAGAAGGTGCTCGGTGGGACTTTGTAGGACTTTCCAGCTTTGTTTGACTATAAGTAAAACACACGTTTAGCCTCAGAGTTCACTCTGATCACCCATAAAGATTGAACAAACATTTTTCCGACCTCTTCTGGGAAACGAAAAAGTTTGCTAGAAAGGGCCGAAACATCTGCCTCGAAAGGTAGCAACATTTCAGATGAGTTACACGGCAGACTGTAAAATAACCTTTCTGACACCAGCAAAAAAACTAAAAAACTCTTTGGGGCTGGTTCAGATAGCGGGGAAAAGTCTTTTTATCCTTTTATAAGGATAAATGTATTCCTTTCATGTTTGGTCCTGAAATAAAAAAGTAAAAAACGGCACTCACTTTGTACAGCATCTTGAGGACCTCCACCAGGTATTTGACTCCGGGGTAATGAGTTACCAGGAGGCCATTTCTGAGCATGAAGGCCAGGGCCTTTTTGAACACCAAGATGTGCTTCATCAGTATGGAGGGTCTCAGGGTGGACCACCAGCGTCCTGAGAACAAAAGGCATTGTCCGTCTCTCAACACACTGCAAGTAAATAGCAGATCTTCACCAACTTGACCAAATTAGCAAAACATTTAGAAGAAAAAAACACTGATGCACATCGCTGGGACATGCTTGTTGTTGCCATGTTTTTTGGCAACAACAATGTGTACATTTCTTGATCTGACAAAGTTATTAATCCGACACAACAATACAATATATAATATACATACAGTGAATTGTTAGGCTAATGCTATGTTAGCTGGCTAATGCTATGTTAGCTGGCTATTACGTTGGTTGTTACTTTCAGAAAACATAAAAAACAGATAATCTGACATTAATGATAAAAAAAAGAATTCTGAATTTGTTTATCAGTTAACAATTAAGTAAATTAAATATTATTTATGCATGTTAAAAATCGACTGGTTTTAAACCAATCAACTATTTGCAGTCTATTGTTGTCTTTGAAAGTACCTTGGATCATTACAAAACCAAACAAAATACTTTAGAACATTTTTGCTGTCGTTTACTTAGTGTATCTTTAGTCTTCTCTTGCAGATCTGCAATATTGATCGCCAGCGCCAACACCGGCTGCATGACATTACACTCCTCTTGGAGGAGGGGACACGTCAGCAGAATCAGGAAGATTTCTGGTGATTTTAGGAGATGGCTTGGATTGCAGAGCAAATCAATCAGGAGTATAAGATTTACCTGCAAAAAAGAAATTGAGATTAGATTGTAATGTTTAAACAGCATGAATAAGTTTGTGAAAAAAACTGTTTAGTGGCTAGTTTGAACAATTTCCATGCATAGAAGGGATTTAGAGCCTTGTGGGTCACAACTGTATCTCAGTTCACGTCTCAAGCAAAAGAGAGTAATGCTTGGCAGTAATTCAAACGTCTTAACTGATTGTTTGATCCATGGCACTGCCAGCATCTGGTCGAAAGCTTCGCTAGCTGCATCAAGGTCCACAGTTAGAGCACCTGCTTCTGATGGAGGCCCACTGATATCAAAAGCAAAGCATTACAACTAAGTAGCAGAACCAGAATGAGTTGATGGGATTCAGAAGATCTTATAATTCTTATTTTTTTAACTCATGAGTTAAACAATAGAAAAATAACTCACTCAGCCTTCGTGAAACTTGCAACAAGACTTGTGCTGGTCTGAAACATGGAAGATATTTCTCTGTTGAATAAAAAGAAAAGGAGAGAAACCATGAAAACACTGCATCTGCTGCTGGATGTATGATATTTTATATGTGCAGCTACTTAACTCCAACCGTAATTAAAGTATGAAAATAATGACCTCTTTTCCTCTACGTTGCCATGTGTCATTGACAGCCATTGTTGAAGTTTGGTCTCATCAAGTCGCCCAGTTATCTGTCCTTTGTCCAAACGCTTAAACGACAGACATGAGATTTAACAGATTTAAGCTTTGATAAAAAAACTAACATTAAATCAAGGTAAAAAAAATATATATATATGATCAAATCTGCAATAACAATGGGCCTTGTGCATGAATGTTTTCTTATTTGTATCTTGTGTTTGTTCCTGAACACAGCAATAAAATGAAAATAAGAAAATCCTACATAGGATTCACGCAACGTGATCTGACAGCCAAATCTGTTCCATTTTGAATAGGTTGATGAATTACGTTTGATCTTACATTTGATGCGTTTGCCTAGCAATTTTCATTCAGCATAAGGGGAAAAGCCCCACTAAAACCATATAAGGGCATCAGACTTATCAGTTAAGATCAAATCTGTACCTATAGAAATTATTCATGCAATATGCACAGTGAGTCTCTGAACATATTACCTGTGGAGGTGAAGCGTAGGTACAGCTTGTATTCCACCCAGCTGATATTTTCAAGTCTGCTTAAACCAGGAAAAAATACATTTGCATATTGAATGTATCTCTTTTAGTTTGACACTACTTCTACCATAAAAATACATTGATTAGAACTGCTGCTAACTAGACTTATATTCTCTGCTAAGGATACTATTTCTCCAATATGCCTTCACAAAGCAAATAGTTGTATGTTGCTATATTAATGTTCTGAATTTTTTATTAGGGAACTTACAAATCTACTAAACACCACCCTGGCCATACATACATACCCTTGGGGACGGCTACCACACTTTCAGTGGTCCATGGAAGAGATACCAGAGTGGGAGTCAGACTATTTTCTGTTCGTCCTGTCCCAATTTGACCTTTGGCCCCATCGCCAAAAGCCCACAGCTGGCCAGAGGAGGACAAAACCAGTGTATGACGTCTGGGGGACAAAAACAATTGTGATTGTAAATCAATAATAATAAAAAAAATGGATAGACGTAATAGGTGTCCTTTTTTTATTGTAAATGTAATGAGCTAGTCACTCTAAAACGCCACAATACATTAAGCCTTTCTTAAATGAAAACACTGTTTTCACCTGCCACAGGAAATGTGTGATGCAGGTCCATCCAAACCGTCCACCAGTCTGGGTTTCAGTTCATTATCAGAGGAGTTGTGACCGAGCTGACCGTAGCTTCCCTCTCCAAAAGTGAAAACCTTGCCGTCCTAGAAATCACAGCGTCACATATCAAAATAAGCAACATCCTAATATTTGTATTATGTTTACAATGGAATTTATGATTGGTTAAAATCTGAAGATTCAGTACCTTAGTTAACACAGCAGAGTGTGCTTCTCCACAGCTTATGAAGGAGACACCCAGAGGTCTGAGGGCGGGTACCATGCAGATGTTGAACCTGCCTGATAAATATGATAAAAAATAGAATAAAAGATTCCTGTTTCCAAAATAATTATACATACAAGCTATGATGGTCTGTACAATTTCAATATTTGAGGTTAACATTTTAAAAGCCCTCTTTTCTCTGGACAGAAGGCTTTTATTCTGAAATGTTACCAGGCTAAGGTTGTGGAAAATGCAGTGACTCCAAAAATTAAAAGAATACTGGCTTGCAATGGGCAATGACTATTATTTATAAACAAATCCATATTTCTAACTCTAAAAATGACAGAAGCCCTCCACTTGCATGGACAATTTGCTCCTTGCTGAACATCACATGACACAATTGAAGTACATAATTGTTACCCTTCTCGTCCACCCTGTTGAGACCCAGCTGGCCAGATTTATTGGCCCCACAGCAGTACACCAGGCCTGGGAGTGTGAGGAACAGGGAGTGGGTCGCTCCGGCCGTAACCTGGGTAACCGCTACGCCGGTCAGAGCGCGCACCAGGTCAGGTACAAACTGCAGCGACACCTCCTTCCCCAGGCCTAGCTGACCATGACTGTTCGAACCCCACGAGAAGACATCGCCTCCTGAAAAGTGAAATAATAGACTTTTTATTTTTACAACACACAAAAATAACTGTAAGACTGTGGGCTTGTTCAGAAGATAATGTCACATTAATACTGATTTAAAAATGAAAAAAATTGAACATTCAACATGTAGGCCTATATCCTCTTTTTTGAAATGTGTTGCACCTTTGTCTGCCTTAAGCTCCCACTAATTAAAGAACATTTACTTTGCACTAAATTGTCGGTGGGGAATAGGGAAACTGGCACAGTGATAAATTAACATTAAAATCGAAATCATTATTACACATAACTAAATATAACAAACTGTGGAACAAACAATGTTACTGTTGCATATCATATCAGAAAGATGGCATCAGTATGTGCATTGTCATACCTTTAGTCAGAGCCAGAGAGTGGGAGTTTCCACAAGCAACTTGAATCACAGGTATTGGCAGTGGCATCTGCACATGACTGCATGTTGACGAAACAATAGCAAGTACAAATGATCAAACAAATGCCTACTTTCAGACCTAAGTATACATATTAATATATTCCTGCTTAGTGTGAGATCGTACCTTGGTCTGTTGTGGAGTAGATTTGGTAAAAGGCCTCTCTGTCCGTCCTCTCCTGCCCCCCAGGAGAACACCTTTCCAGATGCACACACAGCCAGGCAATGGTCCTGACCACAAGCTATGGCCACCACATCGCCCAGCCCCTCCACACGACCTTATACAGGGGGACAGAAAAGAGGATAACATATCAGGCATGTGGCGCAATGGACTAGGGCGTTGGTGTTCGGATCAGGGGAGCACAGGTTCAAACCCCACTGCAGTCAGCATGTCCTTGTGTCCCTGGGCAAGACACTTCACCCCAAGTTGCTCATGTGGGGATTGCCCACAGTATTGAGTATGTAAGTCACTTTGGATAAAAGCGTCTAACAAGTAACATTGTAATGTATATTTGGAATAACAATATCGCCCATCTAATACTAAACAAATCAAGCAAAACGGTTCCAAACATGCTATCAACTATACATAAGAAAAAGTGACAATGCTCATAAAAAAAATGGTGGAAAAGTAGGCTACTACTAACTAACTACATTGCCTTAAATGTAAAAATGTTGAGTTAATTTACTTACTGGTTTCATTTAATGCAATGTTATTCTTTTACAATTTAGGTAATCTTGAATGCAGGACTATATTACACTGTATTTTTTTTACTTTAAAGTATCTTAATTATTGTACTGCCACTAATCCCCACAAACCCGAATACATCACTGTAATGAATGTTCCAATTTCCCATCTGCACAGTTTCGTTTACCCCTTGTCAGTGAAGACAACGAAAGTTATGCGTGATGTTCTCACGCATAACTTTCGTTGTCTTCACTGACAAGGGGTAAACGAAACTGAAACGTAGCACAGCTGATTGAGCTGCACAAGAAGTTTATTTATGGATTTCGATGCAGACTCATAAGATAATGATTAAACAAAAGATAAAGTCAATGTAATTGTCTTGAAAGACGAAGAACCATCAGATATTCCTCATCCTCAAAATATATTCAATTTAGATAAAACATTTCATGATAAAAAACACTTTACGTTATTACTAACCGTCTAAGTTTTTATTATTTTATGGGCTACTACATGGCTATTTCTTGTTATGTCGAGATTCTGCAGCCTACCTGTTCTCCCATCTTTACGGTTCTTTCGTCCAAGTTGTCCCTGAGAGTTGTTTCCACATGACAACACGCCGCCCTCCCCGTTGAGCAGTAAAGTGTGCTGGTCCCCGCAGCAGATGTCGGTGATAACCCCGGGGACCGACCAGGACACCGGGCTGAGGGCTGTCTGTGGACCGAACTGTCCACTGGAGCTGTCTCCCCAACAGTACAGCTGCACCATCATGTAGTCTCCACCTGGACTCTGTCTGCAGCATTTGCGCCTGCAATTTATCCCCTCTGATGTTACCTTCAAGTGCTGTCGGAGGTATCAGAATGACAATAGTAAATATGCATCTTTGCTTCTCTTTCTGCAGGTGTTGCATATTAAGTAGGCTTGCTTAAAAAGTCTAGCACGTTAACTAAGTTTGTAACAAGCTTAAATGTGTCATTTATTTTTCCAACAAAGCAAGCAAAAGACAATTTAATAGAAACAATGATGTAAGTTGTCTAATTTACGAGCCTGCCAATAAGACATGAAGGTAGCATGAGAGACACCAGCTTCCAGAAGAGATCTATCTTTTAAAAGTCATGTTGACCGAAATGCTGAAACATAATGTAGCAAAATATAACTAGGTATATCTGCAAAAGGAATAAGTGGATTTTTTATGTTTAGGGTGTTCCGACCAAATTGATTAGGTTCTTGTGTTGTTTTTTGTCTGACATAAATGGCAGAAGTTCTTACAAAAACTAAAATGTGGACCTTTGAAATACATAAACAGAGATATAAACAAGGCATTCATTAAACATTGTATTATTACATTGTAGTGCCGAGAGATAGGGAGTCGGAGGCGGTGCAATGGAGGTACAAAGCTTGCTTTAATGAGCAGCAGAAATGTAGATGTTGTTGGGTCGCAGCCCGGGTCGACAAGAGAAAGAGCCAGGAGGGCACACAACATATATAGATAACAACACATATATGTCCGTGTGGAAACAATAGCCCCAACTGTAGTTCCATGTATGAATTATGTCCCAGTGTATTAATAGGTGGTCACCACACAAGCCCCCCCAGAATTCAAACATGGCAAAAAAAATCCTCGCGTCCGTGGAGGAAGCACCACAGGGGCCGAGGAGGGTGGGGCCGCAGGTGAGGACCGGGCCATGGAACGGGCCACGAAAGGGGGCCGCAGGAGAGGGCAGGGGCCCTAACGAGGGCGAGGGCACCCACACCGGGGGCCGCAGTAGGTGTCGCGGAGAACCCAGCAGGAAAGAGCGCAACCCGGCCGCAGGCAGACGCACAACGGCGGTGGGCACGAAGCCCTCGGCAGGCGTCGAGGTATCCCCGGAAGAGAGGAGCAGTCCCCCCGGGAGCAAGGAGCGCAACCCGGCCGCAGGCAGACGTGCAACGGCGGCGGGCACGAAGTCCTCGGCAGGCGTCGAGGCATCCCCGGGAAGCAGGAGAGCAACCCGGCCGCAGGCAGACGTGCCGCGGCGGCGGGCATGAAGTCCTCAGCAGATGTCGAGGCATCCCCGGGAAGCAGGAGAGGCCAGACAGGGTCCCGGAGCGCGCCACCCATGGGCCGATGGAGCATGGGCGACGTCCGGAACTGTCGAGGCGAGAGGGGGTCCAGGAGTGCGCCACCCAGGCGCCGATGAACGTGAGTGGCGTCTGGATATCCCCGGAAGGCAGGAGAGGCCAGACAGGCTCCGGAGCGCGGCACCCACGGGCCGATGGCAGCATGGGCGACGTCCAAAACCGTCGAGGCGAGACGGGGTCCAGGAGTGCACCATCCAGGCGTCGATGAAAACGTGAGTGGCGTCTGGAACCGCCGTGGAGGTGGTGAAAAATGTGAGAGTGTCCACATGAGGTCAACCGGCTGGTCGAACCTCCTCTCCGGCACCAGAAAAAAGCTCAAAAAGGATCGATAGCCGTTAGCAGCTAGCTGGCAGCCATCGGTAGCTGCTAGCCGTAGCCGTTAGCTAACGTGGTTAGCTGCTAGTCGTCGATAGCTAGCGCAGCCTGGACTTGCAGCCGCACGCCCCGAAGAAACAACCCCACGTGGAAGGAGTCTGGTTCTCTCCCCTACCCAGCAGGTCGTGCATCGTCTCCGTGTAGATGGAAGGCCCGCTGTCCTCCAGTGTCGAGACGATGCGGGAATGGCGAGTGACGTCCTCAGCCATTCCGCCGGGGGCGCAACGAGCCTCAGTCCGTGTGCCCATGGCAGCCACGGACGTCTCCAACAATCTCTGGCATAACGAGAAAAACAGCGCTTTTCGCCATGTTCGGGTCCGTCCCGGAAACTTCACGAGACGTTGTCAGGGTCACCAATGTAGTGCCGAGAGATAGGGATCGAGTCGGAGGCGGTGCAATGGAGGTACAAAGCTTGCTTTAATGAGCAGCAGAAATGTAGATGTTATTGAGTCGCAGCCCGGGTCGACAAGAGAAAGAGCCAGGAGGGCACACAACATATATAAATAACAACACATATTTGTCCGTGTGGAAACAATAGCCCCAACTGTAGTTCCATGTATGAATTATGTCCCAGTGTATTAATAGGTGGTCACCACAACATAGATATTTGTCAAAATTATAGTAGATGTGCATTAAACTGACTCCTGTTTGGTTTAGTTTCACAGAAAGTCGGTGTCGGAAAGTGCACATTATTTACGTATTTAATCATAGATTTTCGCTTGTAAGGAGTAGACATATGATTCAGATATCTGCGGAATCGCTAGAATCGTAGCTTTTCAAGAGTATCTCCTGTGAGACTGTACCCAGGGCACAGCAGCCAATATTGCCGCTCAAAGCAGCTTGATTCGGCGTTACACTGTGTGTGATTGGTGGATTTGTGTGTCGGTCAAGGACATCTCGGCCCGCCGGCAGCCATGTCCGGTCTGAAATGACCAATGGACACTCTAGAAATCTAAGGACCTACCCACCAATACAAAAACATATAACAGGTGTCTCCCATCAGTTTCAGTCTTTTAGTCTGTGAAGAAGATAGAGAAAATGGCTCGAAGGAACTTTATCGTTGCGGACGCGCTGGATTTTATTTTCGCGAGCGGCAGTGAAGAAGATGGCTCATCAGAACCTGAAGGCTTCGACTCTTCTGAAGAAGAAGAATACAGGGACAGCAGGGATCCATTTGAGGATGGGTAAGTGTAAATATAACTTGTAGTGCATTTGCCATTTTGTGAGGAGTACCGCGAAAATGAACAATGGATTTATCAACCTTTTTATTTTCCCATCATGAACTTTTTCTCGGGACAAAATAGACTCTTGATTAGTAAACGTTTACTCTGTGTAAATGTTATTTATGTGTAAACGTTATTTTGGCATGTATAAGTAAGGTTACATGTGTAGATGAATAAAAATAATCCTTTATTCGTCCCACAACGGAGACATTTATAGACATGTATTTTATTTGATCATACTGTTCTGTACAGAGGAGACTTTGTCATAGACTTATTTACATGTGTGTCTGTGATAAACTTTATTTATGTGTAAACGTTATTTTGGTGTGTATAAGTAAGGTTACATGTGTAGATGCATGAGATAATCCTTTATTTGTCCCACAACGGAGACATTTAATTTATTTATTTATGTGTGTGTGTGTGTGTGTGTGTGTGTGTGTGTGTGTGTGTGTGTGTGTGTGTGTGTGTGTGTGTGTGTGTGTGTGTGTGTGTGTGTGTTGTGTGTGTGTGTGTGTGTGTGTGTGTGTGTGTGTGTGTGTGTGTGTGTGTTGTGTGTGTGTGTGTGTGTGTGTGTGTGTGTGTGTGTGTGTGTGTGTGTGTGTGTGTGTGTGTGGAGAGGTTTCACAGCTGCCTGGGCCTAGCAGCCCACAGATGACATTTATCCAGGAGCCTCCAGCTGTGCCTGCCACCATGTTGAGATCTACCGTGGATCAAGGGCCTTCACCACTGCCATCCCCACCAAGCACTAGCGGACCAGCATCACGACAGCTGCCTCCATCTCTGCCTGTGACAAGGTCAAGATACACCTCAGCTCCGCCACAGCCATCACCATCAACCCGGACAGCAAAGAGGTCTCGTAGAGCACACCTACCTCCCACACAGCCACCAGCTGCCCATGCACCTGCACAGCAGCCAGCTCCACTGTCTTGGAAGACAGGCGAAGACCCTGACACTGCTCCCCCTGTCTCCAGGTTTCAACCTGCTCGCACACCCGGGCCACAGCTCAGCTCAACAGTATCAAACAAACCCCTTGACCTGTTCAAGCTGTTCTTCAGTGCACTAACAGTACAGACACTCTGTACCAACACAAACAAGCGGGCTGCACAGGAGATGGGAAAGGGTAAAACCTACAAATGGACTGACTTGACTGTAGAGGATTTCTATAAATACATGGGGCTGCTGAAACTGGACAATCTACTGGAGGAAGGATCATTTTGTCAGTGTATAATGAATAGTTGGTTGAAGGAAAAAAAGTTCTGATGTTCAATATTGTAAATAGTGAGATTTTGCAGTTATATTTATATACATTGTTGGTATTATAATAAATTGTTGGTTGAAAAAAAAAGTTCTAATGCTCAATTCTTCTTTTTTTTTACACATCACATGAACCTTGTTATGTGATATGAAGTAATTATTCAGTCCTGATATATCTCAGTCCCTGCTGTGGTGAAAGTAGAGTGATTGACAGCTGTTTTACTCAAAATTAGAATTTATAAAATGTCATTTTAGACATGAATAACACATTTATATACAGTGTAATTCAAATATTTCAATACTTTTGTAATCCTAAGACTTTGGTAACCAAATCTAAAACACCAAAACAATTCGATCACATGAGTAGATTTGTGTTTTCACTGTCAATGGGTGCGATCGTGCGTGTATGTAATATTACATTAGGCTACAAATACTGACCTGAGCCCCACCACTGTATGGGTTAGCCCTACCATAGACTACCCAACAAAAATACTCTGGCGCTGCCACTGGCAGTGTGTCTTCCACATAGTGATGGTAAGTCACATAGTGCATACAGTAATATTCTCAATTCTTAACTAAGCCATGGCACAGGGAACATGTAGAATAACGAACACGGATGCATGAACCTTTTTGATCAGACACAAGAGGTACAGATAAAAGAGTTTGTACAGCATTGGATTCTCTTCAATCTCAAGAGGTACAACCTTTAAACTCTTTGATAACTATTGGAAGGCATTTTGGTGACAATTAAAACTAAATATATAAAATTGTCAAAATTATCGCGTTAACGGCGGTAATTAATTTTTTTAATTAATTGCGTTAAAATATTTAACGCATGTGCAGAATGGCCCGCCCCATACATCCCAACAGTGGCAGCGCCAGGGTATGGCTGGGGTAGGCTACACCCATACCAAGAAATGGCTTAGCCCCAACATGAAAAATGATGTTAAAGTAAGCAAAATAAAGTCCGCCAACTCTCGCCGAGAATTGCACAGACAGCAGTTGGTAAAATTGATTTCAGTAGCCACTTGTCTGGAAATACCGAAGACCAGAAACGGTTTTGAAAACTTTTGTCACGTAGTGATCGTCTTCTCAATAGAACATCTTTGATAATGTCTTCTGGCCAATCAGAGTCAAGATAACGGCGTGGTGTTGTTGCAGGAAGTCCCGACGGAGAATACTTTTGCTGTAGTACAGGCAGGGGCGTAGCTGGAAATTCTGGGCCCCATGAAAGAATCTATTTGTGGGCCCCCAATCCATGCGAGTGCGCGTTAGCACGCACGCTAAAACAAATTTGGCCATTTATTTATTGCATTGCACTAGCTTTTTTGCTGTAGCGGCCGGGTTGCTGCCTTTCTCAGCAGAGTGCTAAAGCCCTACCCGTTACACGCGCAAGTAATTCGAGGAGGCGCGAGTGACAAGTGTTGAGCTATTGGTGGGGACAATTCAGGATTCTTGGATACTGGTGGGGTCATGACCTTGCGTCCACCCCCTAAACGACACGATGAAACCCAACCCCGAAAACCCTGTTGAAGTTAATTAACTGTAATGGACTGCAAGAAATCAACATGCACTGACTATCGACTTTATCTTCTGTCTATTTAATTGAAAATTACACCCAATACAGGAATGAACAAACGAAAATTCTCAACATTCTTTGACTTATTAAATTAAGATTTGAACAACACAAGGACAAAAGTATAAATTAACTGAAGATTTGAACACAATTATAAAACAATAAACTCTCAGGACATGAACACACTTACAGCAAACAATGAAAAATGTAGTGCTAGAGGACTATGCATCAGATAGTAATTGTTCACAATGTGGGCTGTAGCCTGTCAGCTTACTATAGGGAAACATCCCACAATCCTGTCATAGACTGGATTTGTATCCCTAAATCCCGAACGCCAATCGCCGGACCTTCTTGGTGGCAACATCTTTTACGAGCTCTTTGAAATCAAGTGACAGAGCCAGCTTGCTTTCAATCGATAACATTGCAAGGCTGTTCAACCTCTCTTGCGACATGGTAGATCTTAAATAGCTCTTGATAAGTTTCAACTTACTAAATGATCTTTCACCACCAGCTACGGTAACTGGGAGCGTCAAGAAAATTCTGAGGGCAATGCAAACGTCTCCAAAAATGCTCTGGAGTTCCATCTTGTATATTGCATTCAGTAGATCAAGAGAGCTACAATCAGGGGGGAAAGTGGCAGAACATATTTTATTGAGATGCCTTATCTCACTCTCAAACTGATCTGTGAGATCCTGTGAGTATTTCTCCCTCAGTGGCTGACACACAGAAGCCATGACACTGTCACTCAACTTCCCAATTTTAAGTATGGCAGCAAATTCTTCAACAATATTTGCTGTTGTTTGGAACCGAGTGTCCAAGTCACTTATGATCTGGTCCATGGCAGTGAAAAACACAGTGTTACGGAATATTGTTTCTGGCCTATCCTCCTGACCTGTTCCTTCAGCAGTTTCATCATGAAAACCTCTTCCTCCTGCTCTCACGGCAAAGTTCTTTTTTGAAATGAGGTGGAACCTCCATTTCCTTAGCTACCATTGATGCCTCAGACAGAATAGCATCCCATCCATTTCTGAGAGTCTGCATCTCATCTCTTAGTGCAGCAACATTACCTGCCTCCACCTCTATTGAGATTTTCCCTGACTGGAGTATCACATTTCTGTCATCAATAGATTGCAATACTTTCACCCAAATGGTGAGAAGGACAATGGCATCAAATGACATGAGGTAGTTCCTCAGATCAACAGCTTCAGATCTGGCCTCACCTGTGAGACTGCATGAGCTCAGTATGGTAGCAAGGGCTTCAATGACACCAGGTAGGTGCTTTGCTACAGGTTTCACAGCATCAATTCTCGCACTCCAGCGAGTGTCAGATAGCCTAGGTACAGAGCAACCTGTTTTCTTTTTGTATTTAGACCAACGAGATGGACTGGCACTTACAAATGTGTAGAGGCGGTTAATGTAACCAAAAAAGTTGGACACTTCAGGGCTCGATTCTGTAGCATGCACGCCTACCAGATTCAACGTGTGGGAGGCACAAGGTGAGAAAGTAGCAAGATTATTCTTTTTCAGTATTTGGGCTTGGACTCCCTTGATTTTCCCTGACATATTCGCTCCATTATCATACCCTTGCCCCCTGCAATCACTAATGTCTATCCCTAGATCCAGAAGCACACTCTCCATCATGCCTGCTATTTCACATCCTGTTTTTCCGTTGAAATCTTTGAATTCAATAAATCTTTCAGTGATCTCCCATTCGCCTGTGTCTTCATTATAATGTACATTATCTTATGAGCACAACATTTTGCTCGGTGTGGGAAATGTCAGGCGTTGCATCACAAATGATTCCATAGTATATGGCATCCTCCCTTTCCATCAGAATGGTTTTTAAAACCAATTCAATAAACTCGTTCTGGATGTCTGGGCTCAGATAATGAGTTAGCTGGCTTCCTTTTTTGGATGTCCTGATTTTGTCTAAGTGGTCTTTCAAGAGTGGATCATATCGTGACAAAAGTCCTAGCGTACCTACAAAATGTCCATTGTGGACATCGCCCAAAGCATGCGTTTTACCTCGGAAAGCTAAATTCCTTGTTGCCAAGTGCAGAGTGACATCAAGGAGTCTCTGCAAGATAGCTTTGTTTTTCTCAATTTCAGACTGTAGCTCTCTCTGCAACTGATGATCAACGCCACATGCAGTCATAACCGAACACTGTAGGTGTTTCCATCGCAAATAACAGTCCCTGTGATTCCTACTTGTTTCATGGCTTGGGAATTTATCATACATGCGACGCCACTCGACGTCACACATCTTGTATGACTACTGTCACTACTCAAAGCACTAAGAGAGGGTATTTTTTGTTCCTTGGAGAAAAGAACACATGGTATGCAGAACAGTGCATTTGCACTTTCACTGTGAATCAACCAGTCCCTTTTCCCCTACCCTTATCTGCTTTGGTGTATTTCAAGTAATCTGGAAATCTCTTTCCCTTTGAATCATGTGGAAATTCTTGATCTGTTTCTCGCATTGCTAATTTATTTACAATAGTTGCCCTGTCCTTGTCACTCATCCTAGCTGGGAACAACCCTGGGTCAAGTGATAGCAGATCTTCTACCTCAGACACCACTACAGGTGGCTCAGTATCTGTGGCATCCTGTGTCGGAGCCTCACTTTGTCCCTGACATTGACTGTCCATAGCTGCTTCCTCCTCATCTGTGCTGCTTTCATGGTCCTCGACCTCTTCTTGTACTGGTACTTCTGCCTCTTCACCTCTGCTCTCCTCGTTGGCTGCCTTGCTCGAGGGCCCTGGCTCTAGAGTATCCATAGTGTACATAATTTATAAAATGCCCTATAATAGTAATAACACAGTACAGCTCGATCTATCTCTTAATTGTTATAATAATAATAATAATCATTTGTATAGATATTTTCCAATTGCTCAAATCTAGCTATAGCTACTGTAACAACCTCAATTTAATGTGCCAGTGGTCAATGGTATTGCAATTACTGGAAGAAGTAACTAAATGTGAATATTACCTAAAGTTGTATTCAATGCATGGTAAGCATATTTAAAATCTGTTTGTTAACCCCAAGCCCTGCTGCTTTACCTCCCTCTCCTTCAACTGGGAGCTGGCCTGAGGGAAGGGGTACTGATCCTGAAGCCGCATCTGTGCATTAGAGCAGATGTGATTAGCATGTAACATTATACAGGTTAGGTTAGCTAGCCATAGCAAAAGGGCATAGCTGCTGGATACAAATTCACTGGGCTCATCTACACTCATCTAATTTTTGATAGCAACAGGTAGCTAACGTCAGCCACAAAATGTTGGCCAAGCTGTTATGGGCTTCAAAACAAGTTCTGTGAATAAATACCTTTCTTGTGAAAATACTTGGTGACTAGCTGTCGACCTCTTTTATTATTTTCCTCTTGCTGACGTTTTTTCTTTCGTTTCTGAGCTCCTGATTCATGAGCTGTAGAGGACATTTTCCTGTCAGTCTGTTGAAGCTGCAAGCTGCTGGTGCGCTGCTGTGCTGCCTAGTTATAGTTGAAAGTGGGGTTGCAAGATTAGTAACTGGCAGGCAAGGGGTGGTTTGGAGTGGGTCAGGCACGACCACCTCCATGGCAGAATTTAATGAACACCTGTACGTGCAATTTCCTGCAATATAGAGCACAGAACTGTCTCAAAATCCTATGGGATCCTAAAGGATTCCTATAGGGTTCCAAAAACGTATAGAGATTCCTATAGCATTTTTTGACTAGGGATGTTATCCTACACTTTAAGCTGTCTGATATCCCATTACCTGTAACTCTTGGGTCTCTTTCTCACTTCCTCTGCCTCCTCCCTGAGTCTGCACATTCACCACATCATTCTACATTAAGGAGAGCAATACACTTATGAGTACACTGAACTGGTTTGAATACACAATCTTTATGCTACTCTGTAAAGAAAGGGAGAGGGGGGAATATATTATTCAAGTATTTGTGTCTTAATTTGTTATGTTATCCTACACTTTAAGCTGACTGATATAGCCATTACCTGTAACTCTTGTGTCTCTTTCTCTCCCTCCTCCCTGAGTCTGCACTGTCACCACCACATCATTCTACACAGGAGAGCAATACAGTATGAATACACTGAACTGGGTTGAATACATGATTTTTTCTTTTTTCTGCCATGTTCTACCTGGTTGGCTGGCTACACACACACACACACACACACACACACACACACACACACACACACACACACACACACACACACACACACACACACACACACACACACACACACACACACACACACACACACACACACACACACACACACACACACACACACACACACACACAGTGTGCAGGTTAGTTACAGTAGGAGATGGGCTTCTATCATATTATCTTCTATCATTCTATAATTCATTCTTCTTTTATTTTCATTTCAGGTAGTTGTACCTTAAGAGAATTGAAGGCTGGCATCTGTAAATGCAGATAGATATAAGTACTTTATTCTTATTTTATTATCATTATCATTATTTTCTTTCCAATTAAATGAAATCAGAAAATAAGTGGTATATGATGGAAAATATGAAAGTCAATGCTTGAAGGAAAATGGACTTCGGAAATCAGTTTTTTATTTACTGTTCTGTAAAAGTCTTGTCAAATTTAATGTTTTATGTTTTGTGTGGACCCCAGGAAGACTAGTTGTTGTCATGCAACAGCTACTGTAATGGGGATCCTAATAAACTCAAACTCTAATGGGCTTCGATCTACCAGGTAGCTAGCTAGTCAAACACACACACTGGTTGATGTTACTAGCTAGCTAGCAAACGTCAACTAACCGCTAGCTAACATAAAGAATGACCTGTAATTCAATGCAGCGAAAATGAAGAGAAGGTGATGATTATAAATGTGTTTTATTGTATTGAGTGGTAGAAGTAAAGACATGTCTAACATATTCTTTGTTTGAACAACTTACTGAAAAGGTCTGCCTCTGCCACCAATGACAGACTGGTCGCGGTGATTTACACTCAGCCTACCTGCATGGACTGCTGTGGGTGGGAGGCAGTTGATCAAACCATTGTGAGCGAAATGCGGGGGGGGGGGGGGTCACAATCTTTGGAAACTTAAAAACTCGCTATTAAGTGTCTATAATCAGCACAAGTTCTTTCATTGCGTATTATTAATTCGATTGAAATTACATACTTATGTTTACAGTGATATATTGGGGGGGACATATCATATTTTTCATATGATCAAAAAGTGGGGGTGCAAAAGCACACGTTTGCTCCCCCAAGGTCAATTGTGGGGATGCACCTGCTCTGCTTGCTCCATTGCTCAGGCGCCCATACCATGCAATGAATGAAGGGAGGGGTGCTCATTCTGTCAAACAGAGTAACAAGCACCGGTTTGTTTCTTTTGTGACGTTTTTTTTAATACAGGGAATTATACTTTTGAGTCATCTACATTAACTTACTTTAGGATAATAATAAAACCATATTAATAAAAAGATAATAATAGTGTTCTCTGGGCCCCCCTCGAATGGTGATTAATCATGATTAATTAATTTTTAAACTGTGATTAATCTGATTAAAAATGTTAATCGTTTGACAGCCCTAATATATATATATATATATATATATATATATATATATATATATATATAAATGCCACCCTCCAGGCCTATAAGATCAAACCCTGCAGCATCTTATCTCTCTTGCTCTCAACTTTCTGGCTGTCTCCATTCAGGAGGTAAAACTTTTTTTTTCTTTGAGATGGAAAATTACTGCTCAAGGCTTTTGAAGTGCACTCAAGATTAATTTGAACTGGAACAAGACATTATATTGCTGTAGGCGGCAGTTTGTGACATAGAGCAGTTTTTCCCTGACAATAAATATTCATATATTTTCCTTACAGGCACCTTAGAGGGACACATTTCAACGTTTAATAACAGAGTTTGGTGACGCTGCTGTTTGCTGCTTGTGTGCAGTTGGACAATGATGCGATTGACTCTTAATAAATATGACATAATCATTTCAAATTTGTTCTAGCTTCTGTTTGGAATATAATATATTGACACCATTTCCAAGTGTAAATCTGTACGGCTGGCGTGGATTGGTTGTGTGTTGTGTGCTGCTGGTGTCTACGTGTAGGTGCCACTTACCTTGTACAATGAGGTAGACCTGTGAGGTCTTGGGCTGCTGCTTCGTCTGTATGGAGCAGGTGTACGACCCCTCATCATAAACATCCACCTATACACAATCACAAATACAATATTGTTTTCATTAGTTTGAAAATATCTTATCATATGCCTGGCAGAGCATCTTATCCTCATTTATCTTCCTACATCAGGGGTAGGCAAGTAAGTTTGGCCGTGGGCCAATTTTTTGCTGAGCCGCAAGATGGCGGGCCAGAACATAATCAAAGCCTAATTCAAGAAATTGATTTTGGTAAGAGGGCGCAGCGCCCCTGTTCGCCCAATCCAGAGCCTTTGGCTAGACCCGCCCAAAGGGAGACTCGTCCTCTCTAGCCCCATTTCAGTCCCAAAGCCAGGGCTATTATCTGTATTTTAACAGACTTATTTTTTAAATTGAGATGTATTTATTGTTCTCTTCAAAGTTTATTTTTCTCTGAAATTGTAGGGAGGATGGTCCTCCCTTTCCTCAATGGATGAGACTCCACTGAGTAGAGTTATTAACTATAGGTAGCAGTGTTATTTAACATACTTTTATTCTGATAAGTATTGTCAAGTTCTCTGGGTTTTTGGCATTTATTTGAGTGTTTGCCCATTTGAGAGGCTTGAGGGGCAAAGGGGACGCATGGACAACTGGAATCCTTTTTCCTTTTCTTTATTTCAACTTTTCAAGGACACATTAGGATTCTTTCAGGTTGAAACCCTTTAAAAAATATCAAAGGACAAAATAAATCAATTACAGCAGTTTTGCTTTGCAATTTAATATATTATAACCTAAATTAATCAGTAACCAAGTATTTTACTCAAACTCAATGTATGTAATAGTTAAATAAGTACTTTAATTGACCTGGTTCCCCCCAACCACACATTTGCCATATGTGACCCGCTCTATCGAAATCAGTCGGAAGTCGCAACGGCTCATTTCAAAATAAACGTGGATTTGCGTAAAAAAATAGTTTTTCGGGGATCGGGTGTTTTGTTTGATTTTAAATAAACAAAGTCTTGGCTTTCAGAATATGGAACTTGTATTTCCAAAATCACACGATAAATACATGTTTGAAGCTTGTAAAGGGAAGATGACAGCTCTCCCTCGCCACTCTGCTCTTCCACAGCGCCGCTTCCCCTCCCTCCGCTGACATTATGAATGTAAGCTGATATTTCGGGACAGAATTTATTTTACCGGACAAATTTGAAACTTACCGGTCATGTTTCAATAATAATAATAATAATAATAAGAGTTGTGTTGTGTAGCAGAGTTTCCGTTAGCAGGTAATCACCGGACTAGGACCGGATATGCTGATGTTTAAAACTCAGTTAATGGGAGTCATTTTTATATTGCTTCAGTTTATAATCGTTACAGATCAAAACATTCAGATTCATTTTTCAATAAATGATTCCACTAACAACAAACAACATAATTATTACATTCAAACAAACTACTTGTAGTAGATGAAGTACATTATTCAAAAGTTTACATTAACTTTGAATAATAACACGGGAGAAACGGATCCTCTCTCCCTCCCTCTCTCTCTCTCCTGACAGCACGTTAGTTTCTCATGCAGCTCGCTAAACAGTGGGCGGGGCTTCAGGTGATTATACAGAGCTGCGTGTTTCCGTCAGACTCAGCAGCTGATCTGATCTCTCTCTCGCGTCCGGTTATACTTCACTCGCGTTTATGTCCATATCGATCAGATCCAGCTCTCCTGATCGGCCTTTTTAGAGAGCACTGATCAAACTATTAAGAGTGAATATCGGCCGATAATGACCGGCGGCCGATCGATCGGCCGCTAACGGAAACCCTGATGTGCGACTGTCGGTCCTATGTTGTAAAAAAAAAAAAAAAAAAATCTCAAAATAATATTTTATTTTTGATTCTCAAAATTACGGGCCAAATATTATTGCTGGCGGGCCAACAATGTCCTACATGTTACTTTTTCAAGATCCTACTCTATAATTTTTATTTTGACAAACATTCACAATATTCTCGAAATAAATATTTATGATTCTTCAGTGAAACAACGTTATACAGGAAAGTAGTCGAATTATCTCAATCAACTTTACAATATAATATGTTTTGATTATTATTAATTAATTCAACTTTAAGAAGTCAAAGCTTATAGACATGAGTAATGAATGATCATCATTACATAACAGATACGATCAGCATTTCAGCAGACCTCCCAGCATGGACAGTTTAGATGAGGTACTTAACCCTTTATGAAAACATGTATTATTTTTTAATAAGACTTGCTGAACTGATAATCAATGAAAACGATAACTTTAACATTCTGGGAGGATAATCTAATTTACTGTCTAGCAGAGGGTGCATACTGATACCAGTCTAACATTAGTTTATTTTCAAATGATTATTTATTGTTGTTAAAGCACAAAAAAGGGTTAAAATTAATAGATGAACATACAAAAAACAGATATGCTTATGAAGGTTATGTTTAATAATATTTAAATGTAATCCTAAGGAGGAGAAACAAATGGTTCTTTCCCATCTTTAAATGCAGCTGTTATTAAATCTAACGATGAAATCAAAGAATAAAAAAACCAAAACATTTTGGTCCGGTTTCTAGGTCAGTGTTACCTTCTGTATGCGCAGGCTGTACTCGAGCTGTCCTTTAGTCACCAGATCTACTCTGGGGTCCAGAGACCACTTGTCCTGGCCGGCATAGATGATGTTGGATCGATTGAGCCAGGCCACTTTGGACACTTTGTCATCCACATAACACCTGCAGGAACAAGAAGAACAAGTAGTGTTAAGGGAAGTTAAGTGAAATAAAAGCCGGGTTTACTTAAAAAAAGAAAGAAAATTACGTGACATCCTTCATTTCATAATATGTAAACTCAAAATCAAAGAGGATGTATAATTGTGTAGGAACTTATCTGCATCACAGTTCAGCTATGTTGTGGTTTAAACTGCTTAGTGTATTCCCTCAGTTAAGGTTAGTTAAGGTTTACAGACAACTTGGCGCACCTCTCATTCAGAGGTCTCAAAACAAGAGCTATGTCTTAACCTGTGTCTCTCTTCCTTCTTTCTCTCTCTGATAAATACATCTCCTTTAACAGTCAGCATATTCCTGTGGATGAGGAAGGACACCAGTATGCTGTTGTTTACTCCTTGTTGCAGACAGTCAGAACATTACTCCAAGAAAACTCGAGCTAAGACAACTCGCACAGGAGGCATGGTAGCCGGGCGTCTGCCTAATGAATAAATGTAAATGTGAGAAGACGTCGGAATCAATGAGAAGGGATATCAGCCATAATGCTAGCCGACAGTGGATGCGCCTCACATGCAAATTCTGGTGACTCCGGTAGACCAGGCTGTGCACATGGCTGTGGAGTGTGTTGGGCCACAATGGAGCAGATTTGGGAGGCAGAGGAGTGAGGCTGTCTCTGGCAGGTGACCCCGGGTGATGCACACAAGTGGTGGTGCAGTCACCCCTGCCTGTTACCCAGTGGGAGCTGGATGTCAGGTTTGTTGAAGGCTTGTACTCACAGCTTGAATCCCTGTTGATGTTCCTTCCCTTTGTGTGGAGCCCAGATAACTCACTGTATTTATTGACTCGCTTTGACATCTACACTCTACTTTCTTCCCTCAGAAGTGAACAGCTTTAAAGGGATTTCCCTTTTGTTTCAGATATCTTCAAAGCTTTAATTAAAATACTTTATAGTTATATGCATCCTAATCTTATGCAGACACATTTTCCTATATTGATGGAGAGCTAGTCTTTATGAACAACAATAAAATAACGATAACAGTTTGGACTCCAATGGACACATCGGAAATACTAAAATGGAGCCTGACTTACATTTTTTAAATCTTAGATTCAACCTCTGCAAATCACCCATGAAGGGTAGGCCCCTTTGGTGTAATCCAGAATGTGTCCTTGTATTCAAGTCAAAACATCGCTGCTTTTAAAGAAACAAACAACATATTTTTACCAACATTGAAAATGAGTACAAATATACACAGAACATGATGCTAAAATTGTCCTGCTAGATTCACAGGGACCTGAAGGAGAGCGGAACTTTGCCAGGCTTCCATTTGTTAATATTTATTTTGGATTCAACACCATGTAGCCTGTCATCCTCGCCAACAAACTGGTCACTCAAACACACTGAAAACCAACACAAGCTCACTACAAGGGTGTTTTCCTATCCCTCCTCCTGTTCATGCTCTATGGTGACTGTGAAAGCATCCATCCAAACTGCCAACTCATTAAATGTGCTGACTACACAGCGCTTCTCTCAGGCTCTGAGCAGGAACACGGTTCTTCTCTATGATTTTAACGTTAAATGGTGCAACAATACAATGCTGGATTTCAATTTCACTCAGAGGTGGTTGGTGGTTGATTTCAGGATGCAGTCCAGACAAGGAGTTGGATGGTGTGAATATCTTGGAATCATCTTTGACATTTGAGCAAAACACAGAAGCCTTATCAAGAAAGCAAACCTGCATCCACATGCTTTCAAGAACTGAATTCCAAAAACCCTTCTACAGTTCTTCAGCGAGTACATTCCATGTTTCTCCTTCACATGTTGGTTGCCATCACTCACTGTCATAACCAGAAACCGTCTCCATACCACAATTAACACCTGTTCCTAAAACTGGAGTGCACATTACGAAGCCTCATTACTAGCTACCACTGCGTGTGCCTCGCATGTTTTAATGTTGTGAGACTATGTGTGTCATCACAGCGTTAATTTGGCTCTCTGTTGAAAGATGCTGTCACCTCAACAGCGCGCAAGATTCACAGTCACGGAATTTAACAGGTTTGTAGTTCAGATCAAAATGTAGAGCCAGTGCAAAGGTGAGCATGGCAGTGGTGCATATAAGTAAACGGAAAGGTAATGAGGAAAGGACCTACAATTTATGCCATGGCCTGAATTGGTATTGCGGGTGGCCTCTAGGTCTGTGAGCAGCAGGGAAAAGCCCATGACATCATGTAGGATAACACCCGTAATCTCCACCCACAGATCCAGATGCCTTCTTTCGTGGTGTAGCCTACGCAGTTTCTCTAGAAATGGGCACAGAGCTCTGTTCATTCCATAAGACCTCCGCTGGACTAAGGATCTCAAGAACAATAATTAGCTCTATCTGGATCTGCCATGTAGTCTTTTCCCCTACTTATTATTTAATTTATCATTATTCTTTTTAATAACGACCTACTTACTTTTTAAATATAACTGTACTATCAGCTCAACACTGTTCCATACAGCTATTTGCTTATAATTGTCTATAATTACTCAAGCCTAAAATGGGTTCGCTTTCTTGGATTTATGACGTTTATTGGATAAGGTGAATTGGAAGAGCCAGATGACCGACATGTATTCAGTCCAGTCTATGACACTGTCCTGCAGTGTGGGACAAGGGGTCAACATTGCATTTGTATACACTTTCCCTCTAAACCAGTGTTTGCATATTTTCTTTATTGTAAGATCCCTCTTGTACTAAAAGGGTTTTAACATTACCAGATTGTTTGTTATATAATTGTACGATGAAGCTGTTTTTAATTAGATTCATAACAAATCAATTGCTCACTTTGTGTAAAAGTTCTAATGCTGGGATTGATCATTCCACAACTCATTAGCGACAAAGCCCTACATTTGTGAAACACAAAGTGACAAGTTTAACAGCTTTTAGGGGATGGCAGTGAATCACTAAACTGTCCAGGCTGACTGTACGGCTGCATCTTGTTGGTTTTCAATGAGCTTGCTTCCTTTCTCCCCTTATTATCTCCTGTCTCCCACCGTGAAGTAAATGGGAGGAGGTTAAAAAACGAAAGCACGTACGTGAAGGACAGAGAGAGGAGACGTGAACAGAATCATGACACCAGTTTCCTTTGGTTGTCTCTTTCACAAACATACATTATACTTAATAAAGCATTTTGATCGTTTACATTTCTTAATATTATGTATTAAACAGAATTGCGTTGCTAGGCAACAGCATGGGTCCATTCTTACTTCCTGTCAGCTGATGCATTCGCTGACATCAGCAAATGGAACCTTCAGATTGATGACATCATCTTTGCCTTGATGCTTTAGAAGTTTGCAGGTCTCAGCTGTGACGGTGAATTCATCAGAGCATCAGAGCATCAGTCAGAAGGCAGAAGGAACTGTTCCAGCTAGTGTCAGATCATTGCAGAAATAGGTTTTGTAGCAAGCTAACATTAGGTAGACTTGCACGTCTATTTTAACGAGATAATCTAAGTGAACTCCATTTTTGTGGCTTTAATTCAGTTGAACAATTATATTCAGTTTGCTTAACAACAGGTCATTTCATCACCGCAGTAGAGATGGAGATGAACAATAGAGATGAGATGGAAGTCAAGCTCGAGATTCTGCAAAAAGAAAATCAGGAAATCAAGATGTTGCTGGAGCAGGAAAGGACTTTAAGGAATAAGCTTGAGATTGAAGGCGCTAAGAAGAAGGAAGCGATGCTGAAAGCATATACAGAGAATGCAGCTGAGCTATCTGGGCAAAATGTGAACGTGAAAGCCCAGAAAATTGAGCACAACGTCTTGCGCGTCAACAATGAGGACCTGAACATGAAATACGGAATGCTCCAGAGGTCACACAAGAAGGTCGAAGCAGAGATGGCTGCCTTGAGAAAGGCAAACCAGGAACTCAAACAACTGAAAGAACCCTGTGTTGAAGAGAACGCTGTAGAGATAGCTTCTTTGCGTGAGAGAAACCAGGAACTCCAACAACAGAAGGAGCGTTGTCTTGAGGAGAAATCTGTAGAGATAGCTGCTTTGCGGGAGAGAAACCAGGAACTCCAACAACAGAAGGAGCGTTGTCTTGAGGAGAAAACTGTCAAGATAGCTGCTTTGTGTGAGAGAAACCAGGAACTCCAACAACAGAAGGAGCGTTGTCTTGAGGAGAAATCTGTAGAGATAGCTGCTTTGTGTGAGAGAAACCAGGAACTCCATTTACAAAAGGAACGTTATGTTGAGGAGAAATCTGTAGAGATAGCTGCTTTGTGTGAGAGAAACCAGGAACTCCATTTACAAAAGGAACGTTATGTTGAGGAGAAGGATGCAGAGATAGCTGCTTTGCTGAAGGAAAACCAAACACTGAAACAAGAGAAGGAGCATTGTGTGGAGAAGGAGGCGAAGGTGGACAAGAAGGAAAATGAGGTGAAGGTGGAACCAGAAGTGAGGCACAATGTTAAAATGAATGCCCTGAAAATTGAGCAGAAAGTTTTGCGCGGAAACTATGAGGAACTGAACATGAAATATGAAAAGCTCCTCAAGATGCATCATAATGACAAAGCAGAGGATCTCAAACAACTGGAAGAACCCTGTGTTGAGGAGAAGGATGCAGAGATAGCTGCCTTGCAAAAGACAAACCAGGAACTCAAACAAGAGAAGTTGCGTTGTGTTGAGGTGAAAAATGCAGAGATAGTAGTTTTGCATGAGAGAAACCACGAACTGGAAGAACAGAAGGAACACTTTGTTGAGGAGAAGGATTCAGAGATAGTCACTTTGCATGAGAGAAATCACGAACTGGAACAACAGAAGGAACGTTTTGTTGAGGAGAAGGATGCAGAGATAGTCACTTTGCATGAGAGAAATCACGAACTGGAACAACAGAAGGAACGCTTTGTTGAGGAGAAGGATTCAGAGATAGTCACTTTGCATGAGAGACACCACGAACTGGAACAACAGAAGGAACGTTTTGTTGAGGAGAAGGATGCAGAGATAGTCACTTTGCATGAGAGAAACCACGAACTGGAACAACAGAAGGAACGCTTTGTTGAGGAGAAGGATTCAGAGATAGTCACTTTGCATGAGAGAAATCACGAACTGGAACAACAGAAGGAACGCATTTTTGTTGAGAAGGATTCAGAGATAATGACTTTGCTTGAGAGAATCCGTGAACTCCAACAAGTGAAAGAACGTTGTGTTCAGGAGATAGCCGCCTTGAAAACACCATGGTGGAGAAGATTCATTAATTTCCTTTCTAGTATCGTCCCAGATGTCCCCGACGACTACCAAGAAGGCAGCCTTGACAATGAAACTTTAGAAAACATGATAAACAACAACAGATTTTAGTAAGACATAAAAACATTTCCAGAACAGACTAAAGCTCAAAATGAGTGAGCAATAACATATAATAACATTCAGTCAGGATATATATTTAAACAGTTAACATTTATAAGATCAATTTATTAAACATCAACAAAGGTTCCAGAAGATACTTAAGCGGCTAGAGTATCATTAGTATAGTATAGTATAGTAGTAGTAGTAGTAGTAGTAGTAGTAATAGTATCGTTTTTTTTAGGCTAGAGTCTAGCCTCTAGGGGCAAAACAATTACCTTCATTTTAAAATTCCTTCGCTTCTAGCACTCCTAAAAAACAGGAAAAGGGTAGCAAAATAAAGATCTGGTTAAATTTAAAAGGTCACCCAGAACATACTGTAGGCGATTTCAAGCCATTACAGTTAAAAAAAAACCCTGATCCATTACGCATACAAATAAATCCAGTAGAGACTTAAGCGGCTAGAGTATCGTTAGTATAGTATAGTAGTATACCCTAGATAACAACCTGTCCTTCACTGCAAACATAGCTGCCACAACCCGTTGCTGCAGATACACGCTTTACAACATCAGGAAGATACGTCCCCAGCTGACACAGAAAGCGACGCAGGTTCTGGTCCAGGCTCTCGTCATCTCACGCCTAGACTACTGCAACTCCCTCCTGGCTGGTCTACCTGCATGTGCCATCCGACCTCTGCAGCTCATCCAGAATGCAGCGGCTCGTCTGGTCTTCAACCTTCCTAAATTTTCCCACACCACTCCGCTCCTCCGCTCCCTTCACTGGCTTCCGGTAACTCCTAGAATCCACTTCAAGACACTGGTACTTGCTTACCATGCTGCGAATGGATCTGGCCCTTCGTACATCCAGGACATGGTTAAACCGTACACGCCAGCGCGTGCACTACGCTCTGCATCAGCCAAACGACTCGCTGCGCCCTCGCTGCGAGGGGGACCCAAGTTCCCATCGGCAAAAACACGTGGGTTTGCTGTCCTGGCTCCAGGGTGGTGGAATGAGCTCCCCATTGACATCAGGATAGCAGATAGCTTGCACATCTTCCGGCGCAGACTGAAAACTCATCTCTTTCGACTCCACTTCGAGCGATAGAACTATTAACAAAGCACTTATATACTAATAAAGGACTGGCTTATCTAAAGCCAGTTGAGTAGCACTTGAAATGTTTTGGCTCTATGAAACCTGATGTACTTATATGATTCTGTTTTCTTCAAGGTTGTGTCTTCCTGGTCGAATGTGTAAGTCGCTTTGGATAAAAGCGTCAGCTAAATGCAATGTAATGTAATGTAGTAGTAATAGTAGTAGTAGTAGTAGTAATATTATAGTTTTTTTTAGGCTAGAGTCTAGCCTCTAGGGGCAAAACAATTACCTTCATTTTAAAATTCCTTCGCTTCTAGCACTCCTAAAAAACAGGAAAAGGTTAGCAAAATAAAGATCTGGTTAAATTTAAAAGGTCACCCAGAACATACTGTAGGCGATTTCAAGCCATTACAGTTAAAAAAAAAAACCCTGATCCATTACGCATACAAATAAATCCAGTAGACACTTAAGCGGCTAGAGTATTGTTAGTATAGTAGTAGTAATAGTAGTAGTAGTAGTAGTAGTAGTAGTAGTAATAGTATAGATTTTTTTAGGCTAAAGTCTAGCCTCTAGGGGCAAAACAATTACCTTCATTTTAAAATTCCTTCGCTTCTAGCACTCCTAAAAAACAGGAAAAGGGTAGCAAAATAAAGATCTGGTTCAATTTAAAAGGTCACCCAGAACATACTGTAGGCGATTTCAAGCCATTACAGTTAAAAAAAAACCTGATCCATTACGCATACAAATAAATCCAGTAGAGACTTAAACTCACAGTGATTGTGCAGTATTGCCCTCTAGAGAAGAACAACATCTAGTTAGATTCAGTCTTTACATCCATTACAAAATGTCATCTGTGGAAGCCGTGGCGCTGTAAAAAGCACGACCAATCATCTGAGCCGGCCCGGCAAAAATAACTGGATGGCCTACCTGCCTGTCAGCCTTCCATCTGTGCACAAACTTATCTTGTGCCCTCATTGGTCATGTGCGCGTTCGTGTGTGTTGGAGGAGGGGCTCTGTGAGGAAGTGGCAGATTTTTTCCGGCTGTGTATTTTCAAATTCTAGCGCATTCTAGCTGGTTTCTCCAAAATTACCTACCCCACCTTTAACAGCTATTAGATCTGGTTAAAAAAAAAAAAGATTCGTTAAATATAGAAATAGTTTCCAGAAGAGTCTCAGTGTGATGTGCAGTTTTAGCCACTAGGGGCAAAAAAATAACCTTAATTCAAAAAAACTAAAACAATTCCTTAGCTTCTATCACCCCTAAATAACAGGAACATTTCAGGATATATATTTAAACAGTTAACATTTATTAGATCTGTTTAAACATTAACCTGTTAAGCAACATTTTCACAAAACTGTGTCTCAGGGCTTCTTAACATTTGACAACCTATTAATGTGTCATACCCACTTAACGGGAAGACACTCAGCTAACTGACGATATGAACCATTTCTACCGAAACAAAACACAACTCTAACACCAAGCGTATGAATTAGCACTAAGCGAAAGAGTGCTAACGCACTTAACTCACGGTAGAAATATGTTATACTTCATCGAATCTGCACAAACATATCATAAGCTGAGATTCCACAGATTCCAATGATATAAGTATCATCACTGTGTATGAGAGCTTCCGGTTTTGGACATGCTGGCTGCGCATCACTCTCATTCACCAATGGTAATGTTTAGATGGATTTAGGAACTTCCTCTCGATTCTATTGGCTCTAACGGTTCAAAAGAGGTGTCAAACACCAACATCGACCAATGGGTTCCAGAGATATGGCAAATACACCCAAATGACCCCATACTGTAGGTGGGTTTTCTTTTTCTAAATCTCTCTAAAAAGGTCAAATTTCACTTGTTTTGCATCAATCTTGATACAGGGTACTTATTATATGTTATAGTCTGGATTCCTAAAGCTTTTTGTCTCCAATCCCATAATTCAAGGGTGGTTTTCACCCCCTTCTACCTCACACAATTACTGCAACTCCGCACACCCCCGAAGCACAACACCCGGTCAGCTACAAGCATCCTGTTAAGCCCCTGTCACACTGTCCCGAAATGTACACCCGATGGACACACGAATATTGAATTGTGAATTTCGCACGATGATGGCCCCGAACCACACACAAAGGCAACATTTACATTACATTTAAAGACATACAACTGCAACGAAAGTAACACAAACAATTATGTTACAGTACTATGATACTGTACTGATATCTTC